GAACAGTCTAACCCAGTGAGCGAAATAAAGGGTTAAGTTCGACATTCCAACCACCTGAAGAAGGCCGGAGCGTACAACGGCCGAAATGTTGTAATAAATATGGCGACAAAGATGAGGACAATAATGTAAATAATGTACATAATACCTCATCTCAGAAATATAGACAGATTGAGAAGTCTAATTTCATAAATAATTGCTTTAATAAAAAAAAATTTTATAATATAATGACAGTAACTCAGTGGTTCCCAAGCAGTACGGCATCATAGGTGCAGCAGAATAATTGAAAGACAAAGATTTAGAAACACTTTAAAAGAATTCATGTGCCAAAAATAAATATGATTTCAAAATTGAAAATATTATTATAGATTACTTGTAATTGTATGCATGAAACCCAGTATAAATAGTTATGAATAATTGCTGACTGATTTTATCATTGTGATATTTTTGCATTATATCAAGTATTAAGAATATAGTAATTAGGGGCTGTAATTTGAAGGAGAGAGTTATCAATGATAAGGTTCTGACTTCAAATCTGCAGTTATCTCCCTTTAATCCACTGTTTTCTTCTTTTTTAAATGTACTTTTTATCATATAAAATTTAGTGAGGTGCAATTAAATTTTCAATCCTAGAATGTGGCCCAGAGAAAAAAATTTGGTAACCACTAGCTTAGAGATACGAATAAAAGAGCAGTGTGAAGAGCAATGAATTTCCATGTCCTGAAGGGACATGGCACATAAAAGAAGATTTATTTGATTCTGATGTCTCCAATTTGTAGCTCACACCTTGGACTGCCCCCCCTTTAAAAACAGTCGACAGGTTCTCCTCCTTGCATTCCTTTACTACTTTGTCCTAGAGTTCCTGCAGTTTTCTTTCTGTGTCTGCTATCAATAGAGTGCCATCTGGGTATCTTATGTTGTGTTCATTAATAATGAATCCTGGTTTTATACAATCACCTTTGTGGCTGAATGATTTGTTTTATGGCTTATTAATCCATTGAGTTATTTAAAGCCAAAACATTTCCTATAAAATGGGCACGTTGTTCACATGCAGCATCTATAGTATTTGTAGTATACTCCTCCAGAATTTGACATTCACAGGACATACTGAAGGTAGGGGGGGGTGTTGGCAAAGCGTAACATTGAGTAACCTACCCTAACAGAATTGTGATAATGGAGGGTAAAACTGGAACTGAGAGTGATATTAAAGTGACAAACATTACTTAGAGCAGCAGAAACAGTTTCAAAAGAATTCATATTCCAAAAATAAATATAATTTCAAAATTTAAAATATTATAGATTACTTGTAATTGTATGCATGAATCCCAGTATAAATAGTTATGAATAATTATTGACCAATTTTATCATTGTGATATTTTTGCATTATATCAAGTATTAAGAATATAGTAATTAGGGGCTGTAATTTGAAGGAGAGAGTTATCAATGATAAGGTTCTGACTTCAAATCTTCAGAATCTCCTTTTAGCCCTCTCTCTGTTTTTTTTTATTTTTAAATTTACTATTTATCACATAAAATTTGGTGAGGCACAAGCAAATTTTCATTCCAAAAAGGCAACCCAGATAAAAAAATGTTTGAAATTTTCTCTTTAAATATGATTTTGCATTGACAAGACTCACTGGCAAAGAAGCAAGGATAAAAGCTCAAACGAGTCATAATTGAAATCTAATATACACTATAAATTTTAGTTATTGCTAGCCATCTTTTAATATGCTGGAATTTTGTTCAAGAAGTAACTATTATTAATACAATGTTATACAATACAATGTTATACAATACAATGTATTATTAATACAAGGTTGAATGTTTTATCTCTTCATATCTGACTTTTTGAGGGATTCATTACATATTTGCTCATTAATTTTTTCTATCAATACATCTATTGTTACAATATCAACAGATTAGTTTAGATCAATGATTCTCAACCTCCATGTGCTACACAATCCTCTTAAGTATGCTGCAAAATATTGTCATGGCATATTGAAGAAATCGTGAAAAACACCAGGCATAGATTTCACACTAAATAAGCTGCATAAATAGTTGAATAGAAACATTAGAATAAAGTAAGTTCATATTTGTGTGTGCATTTTTTAAATCTATTGTTTTTATTTCATAATATTTAAATGTATTTCCTTTAAAAATTTTGGTAAGTCTGTAATGATATTTTTATTTCCTCCTAGGTGTGCTGTTGCTTAAAAAGGTTGAGAAACACTTTAATCTATAGGAGTAGATTATTCTTATTCTGCTGTCCATATCTATGGATAATCTCATCTTGTTCTTAATCCTGCTCAGTTATTGCTAGCCATTTCCAGTGAGTCTATGTCCCATGGGACAACAGCTTAGTAGATAGTTTGTGAATTTGGTCATATAGTAATTGCGAGTTCAGTCCATGTGCAGAGTAGTACAGATTTAGACTCATTGGAAATAGAGTGAGCAATAAGTAAACAGTACTAAATAAGATGACAATATATCCATGGAACATGACAGCAAAATGAGAACAATTTATCTTTGCAGATTAAATAAAGGGGATTAGTTTGAAATTCCCTGAAGGTTACTCAGATTGACAGACACCTGAAGAAGGCTGGAGGGCACGACAGCTGAAACATTGTGATAACAAGAATAAAGACGAGGGCAATAATCTGAATGTAAATAATGATAAATCTATGGTTTTATTTCATAATATTTAAATGTATACTCTTTAAATATCTTGCTTAGTGTGCCATATTTTAATTTGCTCCTAGGTGTGCCGTTGCTTAAAAAGGGTGAGAAGCACTGGTTTAGATCATCTCACAAGCAAGATCACTTGGAATCAGAATTCAACTTTATTAAATCTAGTTTTTCATAGGCTCAGATTTTACAAATGCAAAATTGAAGTCAAGTATGAAGTTTTTTTTTACCACATTACTAAAGTTGAAATTTTCTCTTTAAATATGATTTTGCATTAACAAGTCTCACTGGCAAAGAAGCAAGGATAAAAGCTCAAATGTGTCATAGTTGAAATCTAATATATGCTATAAAATTAGGTATGATTACAAAGAGAAGGCCTTAACAGAATAAAATCAATCAGCAAATACAAAAGCCTAATTATTAATTTTTTTTTATCTCAGCTCGAAGTAAAGGAATGTCCAGAGGTAGGTTCGGATGTGACTTTGGATAGATACACTGAGGTAGACTTGAAATTTGTTTTTAAACATTTACCTATGATCTAAACAAACAACTACATTTATAAGATTAAAAAAAAAAAAAAAAAAAAAAAAAAAGGACATAAATAAGCAATTCAAAAAGGATGGATTAAATAAAATTAAAATATTAATCAAGGTGCAAGTTTCGATTTTAAAGTTAGAAATTTGATTTAATTTGATTCATTTTTTACAGCTCATCAACCCTTTGCAGATTATTTAAAGTCGGAAAATATTTATAGATTGTAAGAATTTTTTTTAGTGTGTGTGTGTGTGGGGGGGTGATAATGTTTTTAGTGATACCAGTCTTACTAATTAACACATAGCTGGGGGAGAAGAGGTAAATCCATACTTCTCCTGAGGCTATTTTCATGTAAGTGAATATTACGAACACAACAGGAATTGGAACACAATCCCATGTTTTTATCCATTACACCACTCACATCCAAACTTACAGCACCTGGTATTTCCAAGTGAACACTTATCTAGATATTGACCAGACTCAATGTTGCTTAACTTTGGTGATCATACAGGAACCAGTGTTTCAATGTGATGTGGTCATAAACCTGCTTATAAGTTTTAAATTGATAATAATGTAGAGCTTTCAAGCAGAAGAACAAGTCAGTGTCCACAACTTCAATTTAAGGACATTTGTAAACAAGACCTTATATTGTTTAAATAATATCAACCCACCCTGTTTTGGGGCAGAGTGCACTCAGGGGTGGCTCGGATAAAGGACAGAGTCGCAACTGTGGAAAATTATACTGAGAAGTGCCCAGCCCTGGGGAACAGCTGCCTGAGACCACAACCTCTCATTACACTAGAGAGAGGAATCAGTGTTCGCACCGAGACCAGCACAACTGACGGTTGTGGGGATTCGGGTAATTTTTGCTCCTAGCCCGAGTGTACACACTCGGGCTCAGCACATTAAACCGACCTTGTGTCACAATCTGACCTCATGGGGGGGAGGGGGTTGAGTAAATACAAATATCAACCTAGCCACCTGAAAAAACACTATTCAAAACTACCTCTAATGGCAGCAATCTGCAGTGGACTGCCAACATATGAGATCATCTTGGCCAAGAGAGCAAAGAGGAAGTACAAACAGCGGGAGGACACCACCACTACATCAACATTACTGGGACAGGCCTGTACATGCAACATCTGTGGCCATGTCTGTTTCTCACACATTGGACATATGAGACACTGCATAAGAGTAACTTTTGATCAATGGTCTTCCAAGAATGCTATGCCAATGACTATATAAAGTTATCAATTTAATTTGATAGTGATATAATCTTTAAACACTTCAATTTGTAAGAATTTGGTTTGTCTGACAATTATTTTTGTTTTAAGTATTAATGCTGTTATCCAATCACTGCCTATTATTATTAAATATACATTCCATAAATATTTGGCAAATTGTAAATAGGATCATAACTCATTTACAAACACTGAGACTTAATTACATATACATACATATATATATATATATATATATATATATATATATATATATATATATATATATATATATATATACAACTTAAAAATCAGGTCAGTTGAATCTGCTTACCTTGGTTTCAACCTTACGGTATCCTCACGTGATTTTTATCAAATGACCTCTTAACATTTTATTTAAAAAAAAAAAAAAAAAAAAAAAAAAACTAATGAACACTATATTATTATTTTCAAAAATAAATAAACACACAACATTGGGTGTAATAGAGAGGAGAAGGAGGATGTGAAGAAGGAAGGAGAAGAAGAAGGAAGGAGAAGAAGAGGGAAGAGAATAAAAGCTAGGGCTTAGGAAAGAGGAGGATGTGAAGAAGGAAGGAGACGAAGAAGAAGGAGGAGGAGAAAAAGAAGAAGAGGGAAGAGAAGAAAAGCTAGGGTAAAGAGAGGAGGAGGAGGATGTGAAGAAGGAAGAAGAGGGAGTCTTTGCTTACATATTAGAAAATTCCTCTTATGCACATATGAGGCTGAATAAAAAAAAAAGTAATGTACATTTCAATACATTTATAATACTCAAGCTTTTCTTCTCTTCCTCCTTCTTCTCTATTACACCCAACATCATGCATTTGTTTATTTATTAGCGTTCATTATTTAAAAAAAAATAAAAAATAAAATAAAATGTTAAGAGGTCATTTGACAAAAATCACTTGGGGATACCATAATTTTGAAACCAAGGTAGCGGATTCAACTGACCTCCTGATTTTTAAAGCTAAAAGCTCTACATGTTATTTTTACTTTTATTTTATTTTTTCACATGTGTATTGAGCACTTTTTAATACTACTGTTTCCTGGTCTGATTCAACTCTGCCCGTTAATTTTTTATGCATTATATATATATATATATATATATATATATATATATCTTTATTTTTTTTCCAGTGTTATACTCTTCTCTCTCACAGAGTTGGTCTTTCCCCTTTTTGGTATCAAAGGCATCTTCAAGCAGTATGCCATTATCATAAAAAAGGCACTACCACCAGCCATTGTCAGTGTAAGGAACATAACCAGAGTTATCTCTCTTGCCTGGGCAACATTAAAATTTTCTATAAATATTTTCATGGTAATTATTCTGAGGAGCTTTTCTCTTTAGTAAGAATATGTTTTTTTTTGGTGTAAGGAATACGGTGATATGTTTGGGTTAGTAATTGTGGCTAGCTAAGTTTAAGATAAGACAGATTGAAGACCAGTCTTCCTCTATCACTTTCCTCTTTGATACCAAGCCTTTATGAATTTAAGTGTACAACTAGATTGGTGACAAAGTTTCATAGTAAAACCACAAGTTCTATGCTAACAATCTTGTATCTCGCACTTCCTGCTTGTGGAAATCGCTTCTTGCTTGCATTTTAGTCAACCTTGATCTTCAAAAGTTTAAATGCAATGTCTTCTGTCTTAATTCCTTTTCTCTTTTTATTGTACTCTCTCCTTAATAATGTATTATTTTTCTCATATTCTCTCACACTCAATAACCCCACTCCCTTGCATTTTAGTGGCTTTATTACCTTGCTTGGGATGAAATGATTAAAAAAAGAAGAAATTACACACAAGAAATATACAAATGCACTTGGAGTATTGCATAACACAAGAGACACTGACATACAAGAGAAACACTCAAGAATGTATGATCGATAAATTTGATACAGGACATAAAACAGATTGTTAAAGAAACTATTCTTTATAATTTATCAAGTAAAAGACATTCTTTTTTTTTCAATGGTGCATCAGCGAGTGCAATTATAGATTCTACTAATGAAAATATATTGTGTTTGAGAGATAACAAGCTGAAGATTTACCCCAAACACTAGAGAATTGAAATAACATATCTCCATTAACACTTGTTAATTTAATGAGTAATGGCTTTATTTATTTCAGTAAATTAACCTCTTGTATATGAACTGTATAATTGGTAGCATACAATAAATATAATGGTAGAATTTGACAGGATTTTTGCCATTTCTACAGAAATACACCTCTCCAAGAAATAATCATGTTTTTTGGGGTTTTTTTTTTCATATTTTTTTTTTTGTATTATTGCTGATTAAGCACACTAGATCATGAATATCAAAAAATATTTTTAATTTTCTAAATTTAAATAAGGATTTCAGTTTATTATGTAAATTTATTGTAAGTTGATGCTCCTAAACAAAAAATATGCTCATGTTCTTACCTTACAAAATTTCAAATAATTTTAAGTTAAAATTTTTTTAAAAAGTTAATATTTACTTACATTATTTCCATTATTCAGACCGTTATCCTCATCTTCATTACCATATTCACAATGTTTCAGCCGTTGTACGCTCTGGCCTTCTTCAGGAGATTGAAATTTCAAACTGAACACTATTTCATCCACAGTGGTAAATTTTTCTAGTTCCACGTGCCATGCCTCTTCCAGATGTCTCAGTTATTTCCCTTTAACTCAACTCTCCAAGTTTGGTTCACCACTGCTGTGGCCTGGTATTGAACTCAAAACTCTTTGGGTTCAGTCACGGGATCTAACCAATGTCTTTATCCACTGGGCCCTGAGTCCTCAAGGTTCAATAGCAGTGGTGAATCAAACTTAGAGAGATGAGTTAAAGGGAAATAACTGAGACATCTGAAGTTTATAACACGTGAAATAAATCTAACCCAGTGGACGAAATAATGGGTTTAGTTCGAAATTCAATCACCTGAAAAACTGGAAACTTATATAATGATAGATGAGGATAACAGTTCAAATAATGTAAATAATGTAAGTAATCATAATACCTCATCTCAGATATATAGCCAGATATTGAAGTTAATATTTATATTATTTAAACAGAATTTTTCAAACTTTTTTTTTTTACTGCAACCCACAGCAAGAACCACATTTTATATCGCAATCTATTATACCTACGTGTAATAAATCAAAGACAAACTCTGTTCACTAGGTTCATTTATTTAGCATCGATAATTTATATATATTTCTTATGACCCACACATATTGGTATTGCATTTATCTACTTGTATGAATATAAATTTTTTTTATATATATTAAAGAAAAACAAAAACCATTGGTAAAACCAAAGGACAACTTGCCAAAACCTAAAATTTTTATCCAGACACAGTCTCAAATAAAAACAACAATACTGAAAAAAAGAAAGAGAAAAAAAGCCTAAAAGCAAACTTACCTATGAAGTAAAGTAAACTGCTCAAAGCCAAGATTGCCTAAACTGAACAAAAAGAACGTTTAACACCATTAAATCCTATGAAAGGATGGCTCTAGTTGTAACTCAATTTTAACACAATCTTCAGATTCAAGTCATTCAAAGATCATATGAGTATGCAACTTATGACTTAAGCCATCCTTTTATATATATATATATATATATATATATATATATATGAAGACATATAGTCTTAAGATGTGCTATATTTATGTGATAAAGTGCTCAATATCAGGGATAGAGCATGGCCTGACAATTGCATCTAGCATGAAACAGACTGTCGCCTCTAAGTGTTGACATCTATGTTCCCTTATATATATATATATATATATATATATATATATATATATATGTGTGTATATGTGTGTGTGTGTGTGTGTGTGTGTGTGTGTCTTTAAGCAATTATTTCTTGAAGAGAGACATTTCTTTAGAAATGATAGATGTTTATCAAAACCTTATATTGTTTTTAACAAAATATTTATGTACATTTTGTGTGCTTAATTAAAAGAAAATAAATGCTTCTAGAAGAATAAAATAGGCCAATTTAAAGGCTGTTGTATGTAGAATTTAAAATAGCTGAGAATAAACTTATTTCTGGATATCAAAAAGAGAGTTTTTTTTTCCGTTTTGTTTTTTTTAAATTTTCGATTTTTAGATCTGAATGCTTGTCAACTTTTAGAAAAAAAAATAGGTACCTTTATCACAATATATTTATGCTGAGAACCATTAATCACAGTTAAAAATAGTATTATGTAAATGGACAGATTATGAGAAAGACATGATTATCAAAGGCAGGGTTAAGTTTAGTTTGCAAGTGACATTCAAACTGGCCACATTAAATTACAACAAAGTTTGTTTTCATCTTTTGTTTTAGATATCTCATTTTTCAAAACTAAAAGCTGCCACTTCATATAATCTTGCCTGTAAAAGCAGCTTTCTTTTTTGTTAAAAAAAAAAAAAAAAAAAAGATATACAAAATTGCCAGCCAGACCTTTGGTGACACTCTGCAATGATTTGACTCCCTTAAAATGGATGAAAACTATTTTGAACTTTAAGCACCTCATATATCTTTTGGTCACTTATTCAATACTGACCAGGCACAATGTTGCTTAACTGATCATCAACTGGTAACAAGGTTATGAAACTAAAAAAGTAGCTTCAAAACCGTTTTAACTATAAAATTAAAAAAATGTTTCTTTGTTATATAATTATAACATTAATGGCTATAAATTCTTTTGGATTGTTTTTTTTCTAGAAACTATTTAGTAATAATAATTTTGAAGAGAACCCCCCAAAACAGGCATGTCTTAATTTTTATTTGAATAACTTGGAATTCTCAAAATAGTTACAATTATGTTTAACTTTAATGATTAATTAAGAATCACTATTTCTTTTGTATGAATTGCTATTTGGTTTCATTTACTTAACACACAAAAAAAATAAAATCACCAATAATGGTTACAAAGTCTCAAGACAGTGGTTTTGCAATATTTTAATTTTGGATGTGTATACTAATAGATTTAGAAGATTTTAAGTGAAATACTAAAAAGAAGAACAAATTTAAACAAGTGTATTACCAATAGTTAAAATGCTATTAAATAATTTAAAAAATAATAAATTTTTAGGAAAAAAATATTAAAAAACTAATATATCAATAAAAAACAAACTTAAAATCTTTTTGATTCTTTAGCTGGAAATATTATGAAGAAATCAATATTTTCAAGTTTATGACTTTGTAAAAGTTTATAATTGAAAGATTTCATATAACAACAAAATTTTTACCCACCTGGGTTATTCCATAAGTCTAAAATATCTTTAGACAAACACACAGACACACACCAATTCAGCCATACTAGTTATATTCAAACTCATTAGTTTATGACTGTAACAATTATGATATGTGTAAGCATTCAAACATTTTTATAAAGTTAAAAAACTAATTTTTCTACTTGTAGAAAATAAAGTTAGGAAGCAAATTTTTCGTTTTGTAGGTTTTTAATGGGTCGAGTTTTAATATTTCCATTTTCTGTTCTTCCTTTTCAGAATTCTACACTTAATCTTGGAATGAAATGGAAACATTCCTCATTAACCCACTTTTGTTTTGACAAAAACAACTTTTTTATCTTTACTAATTTCCATCATACCGACACTTGATGAAAATCAACATTTTTACAAGTACATAACTTACTTTT